TATATATATGTGTGTGTGTGTGTGTGTGTGTGTGTGTATATATATAAATAAAATCTGGTATTAAAATTCACGATGCATACTCCTTTATCTTCTGTATTTTCTTATATAAATTTGGTATTGCTGAAGTCCTTAAACTTTCTCATCTGTGTGTGGAGACTCTAACTGGTTTTCCTTTTAACAAATAAATCATTTCATTAGACAAAATACTAATGAGAACCAAAGTTATTTTTTACTTACTCACATGAGACATTTTGTTTTTCTTTATGTGCATTTCTAGAACTCCATAATTACTAAGTACCGCCAAGGAGCGTGTGAAAATTGTGGGGCCATGACGCACAAAAAGAAAGACTGCTTTGAGGTAAGTCTATCTTTGAAATGTGGAAAACTTGTCAGAGTCCTTCTTTTTTTCTTTTCAGAGAACTTCTATCTTTCTAAAATTATCTGTATTTAGGTGCTAGTTAAAAAGGTCTCACCTGTAATCTAAGCATTTTGGGAGGCCAAAGCAGGAGGATCACTTGGGGCCAGGAGTTTGAGACCAGACTGGGCAACAAAGCGAGACCTTGTCTCTACAAAAAATAGAAAAATTAGCCATGCATGGTGGCGCATGCCTGTAGTCCCAGCTACTTGGAAGGCTGTGGCAGGAGGATAACTTCAGCTCTGGAGCTCAAGTCTGTAGTGAGCCATGATCATGCCACTGCACTCCAGCCTGGGCAACAAAGTGAATCTCTGTCTAAATAATTAAATAGATAAATTCTGACGTACGACTAGACTGATAATTTGAATAGATCATAAAATCTCATGGTATGTTCATGCCACTCTGTAAAGGTTATGTGAAATTTTCCTCTGGGCTATAATTACTTAGGAAAACATTAAATCTTTCTCTATTTTCCAGAGACCTAGGCGAGTTGGAGCCAAATTTACAGGAACAAATATAGCTCCAGATGAGCATCTCCAGCCTCAGCTGATGTTTGACTATGATGGGAAGCGGGATCGGTGGAATGGCTACAATCCAGAAGAACACATGAAAATTGTAGAAGAATATGCCAAAGTTGACCTGGTAAGCAAAGTTCCCTGCTTTCCTGCTGTCCTTAAAGAATTGCCATTTTGCTGTATCTGTAATTTAGCAACTCTATTTTCAAGTCTTGAAGCACTTTAAAAATGGCAGCATTTTTATAAAAGTAGTAGTTCTACTGTATAGGCGACCTCTGTAATTGTAAGATTGAGTAGTGGAAATAAATAGAGCTAGCCCTATTTGGCAGCAGTTTCTTCTAATTGATTATTATATTGTCCTTTACTCCCTGACTTCAGTAGCAGAAGATACTGGAAGCATAAGAACAGATTAGTATCCAAAGCTTTTGGCTTTTTGAGGTCAGAAACTTAAGGCCCTTGGCTGTTGCTCACTCATGAACCTGTTTTGTAGTTACCCCACATAGCATTTGGGAATAGTGGAAGGGAGAGAGATAATTTGTTTCAGAAAATTTTATTTTAATTCAACCTCAGTTTTTACTGTTATGATTCCACCTACTCATTCCCATTCCTTCAGAGCCATAGTCACGATGCCTCTTTAAATTAGAAATAACATTTTTAAATCATAAGATTTTATATGAAAACCTGTGTGTCATCTTTTCTTGAACATTGTAATATGTGGTAACCCTGGGCCTGCCTGACAAGAATCAGTCATCTAGAGTTATATGGCATCTGTCCCTTTTTATCAAGGCTTGCTCCCTGCAGTTGATGACTGGTGCCATCTGGCTCAGTTTACATTCATGCCTGGTTTAAACAAGAGCATGTACCTCCCATTCTTTAGAGAGTCATAGGAATAGAGCTACAAGGAATCTCAAAAAGGTAGCCTTGTTCAGTGACTTTCTGAAAACAGTGAAATTATGTATTTTAAATACATAAAAATTAAGTTGCTATTTGAATATTGTAAGAAAAATTTCAATTTTTTTTTTAAGGCAAAACGAACATTGAAAGCCCAGAAACTCCAAGAAGAATTAGCCTCAGGAAAATTAGTGGAACAGGCTGTAAGTAATAAAAAGATCAATTTAAAAATGTTAAAACTCAGCCGGGCACTGTGGCTCAGCCTGTAATCCCAGCACTTTGAGAGGCCAAGGCAAGAGGATTGCCAAGCCTGGGGTTCAAGACCAGCCTGGGCAGCTTGGTGAGACCTCATCTCTTCAGTAAGTCACAGCAACTATACCTGGATGTGGTGGTGTACATCTGTAGTTCCAACTACTTGGAGGATTGAGGTTGAAGGATCGCCTAAGCCCAGGAGGTTGAGGCTGTGGTGTCTGTGAGCGTGCCACTGCACTCCAGCGTGGGCAACAAGAGTGAGACTCGAACTAAAAATAAGAATGTTAAAACTCTTTTAAGCAAATCTAAAAATTGAAACAGGAATTCACTTTATTTATATCAGTTCAGTTAGAAAAGGGAGTATTACCATTGAGGGGAAAGAGTAAAACTGGCACTGTTTATATGGTTCGTGGGCATATAAATTGATATGATCAATTTGGGGTGAATATTGCCATAAAGTATATGCATATATACTCACATACACATATATACATACATACTTTTCTGGAATTAAATTATTAGGTCTATTCATTCTAAAGAATTCCAAAGAATTCTATCCATTCTAAAGAAATTCTAAAGAATTTTCTAGAGTTCAGAAAACTTACTATATACAAAGATACTACAGCATTTTTTTTTTTTTTTTTTTTTTTGCAATAGAAAAGAAATTGAAGTAGCATAAATGTCCAGGAAGATGGAATGTTGCTTAGCTCTTAAAATGGTATTTCTGAAGACTACATTAACAATACTGATGAATAGCACTTATATTTTAATAATACATAAAATATTGTCACACAGAAGACCAGAACACGAGTCAGGTTTTGGTTTGTTTTATTTATTTATTTAGAGTCAGGATGTCACATTGTCGCCTAGACTGGAGTGCAGTGGCACAATTGCCGATCACTGCAACCTCGACCATCTGGGCTCAGGCAATCCTTCTTCTTTAGCCTCTCAATAGCTGGGACTGTAGGCGCACACCACACACAATACCTGACTAACTTTATTTTTTATTTTTTTATTTTTTTTATAATCAATATTCTTTATTATGATATTGTGGGGTACAGTTAAGGGTTAGGTATACAAATACGCTTCGTTCAGGCACCCTGTTGATGAGAGGTGTCTCCCTGTAACTTTATTTTTTGTAGAGAAGAGGTCTCACTATGTTGCCTAGGCTTGTCTTATCTTCCTGGGCTCAAGCAATCTTCCTGCCTCAGTCTCCCAAAGTGCTGGGATTATAGACGTGAGCTACTGTGCCTAGTTGTACCAGTCAGTTTTCATTTAATGTAGAATTAGTGATTTTTTCTTTTTATCCTTTTTGTTTAGCATTTTCCTCAATGAAAATGTATTAATTTTATAACTGGGGAAAATTTACATATGAATACAAAGTCTTACTGTACTCTTTATTTTTATTTTATTTTATGGTGAAGTCTCTGTCACCCAGGCTGGAGTGCAGTGGCATGATTACAGCTCACCGCAGCCTTGACCTCCTGATCCTTCCACCTCGGCCTCCTTAGTAACTCAGACTACAGACACCTGGCTGATTTTGTGATTTTGTGTGTGTGTGTGTGTGTGTGTGTTGAGGTCTATGTTGATTTTGTGATTGTGTGTGTGTGTGTGTGTGTGTGTGTGTGTTGAGGTCTATGTTGATTTTGTGATTGTGTGTGTGTGTGTTGAGGTCTATGTTGTCTAGGCTGATACCGAACTCCTGTGCTCAAGCATTCCCCCCCCACCTTGGCCTCCCAAAATGCTGGGATTACAGGAATGAAACACCACACCTGAATGTTTTTTTTTTCTTTTTCTCTCTTTTTTTTTTTTTAAATTTCTGACCAACTTAATGGAGTAAAAGTATTGTGCATTTTAGAGTATACAAGTTTCTTTTTAACATTCTTGGCACAAAAAAAAAAACACTTAGAGTTTTCAACTTTAAATTTCTAAAAGGGACTCACATGTGTGAGTTACAAAGCAAACAGCACTTGAGGTAATTACCAGTAATAGTTACTGAGGTAACCTCTCAGACAAGTTAGCTCCATAAGTTACCAGGTATATATTTAAAATTCAGCTCTACTTCTGGTTAGCTATGTGCTCTTGGAAAAATGAATTTGCCTCTCTGAGCCTCAGTTTATCATGTCTAAAATAGAGAGGCCAACACCTATTCCCAGGAGACTTTTATACATATCACTTAGTAAGTACTTGTTGCACTTGTTAATTATTACCAACTCTGGAAAAAGGAAAAGGATCTGTTTTTCTTGTTCTAACTAATAATATTCTCTGTTGTTTGTTGTAAACATTTTATTTCCCCAGTAAGGATACATTATGTAGGAGACTGATGATTTTTATCTACTTGGATACTTGCATATTACGGTAAACAGCATATGGCAGAGCAGTGTCAGCTATAGACATAGCTGTTGATGGTGCAATGTACGTAAATGTCTTTTGTTGAACTCGCAACTAGAAGGAACTCCAAAAAAATTCTTTGCAAAACATTTATATTTGTGATTTTGGTTTTTTGGGGGGTTTTTTTGAGTTGGAGTCTCACTCCATCACCCAGACTGGAGTGCAGTGGCCGCTCCTGGCCACCGCAGCCTCGACCTGCTGGGCTCCAGCGATCCTTCCGCCTCAGCCTTCCAAGTAGCTGGAACTACAGGCGCGCGCTACCACACCCGGCTAATTTTTTTGGTTTATTGTAGAGATGAGGTCTCGCCAGGTTGCCCAGACGGGTCTCAAACCCGCAGGCTCAGGCAATCCACTCACTTCAGCCTCCCAAGGCGAGGGATTACAGGCTAAGCCACTGAGCCCGGCTTATATTTGTGATTTTGAAAGTAACACATATTAAGTGGAAGAAATTTGTTCAGCTGGAATTAAGTTACGTAATCTCAACTATATTCTTAGTGTTAAGTAATTAATAGAACAAGTAGAATGCAGTTACAAATAACTTTTCTTCTTTCATAATGCAGAATTCTCCAAAACATCAGTGGGGCGAAGAAGAACCAAATTCTCAGATGGTAATATGTATTTTCTTTCTCTAAGTACACATTACGTTTTCCATTTCTGATGGCTAATACTAATAGCTTTTGTAGAACACACATGAAAAAGGGTTTGGTTAAAGGAAAAGAACTAGCTGCTGCTGTTATAGTTTTCTTACCATTTTTTTCCTTCTTCCTATCTCAGGAAAAAGATCATAATAGTGAAGATGAGGATGAAGATAAATATGCAGATGATATTGACATGCCTGGACAGAATTTTGACTCTAAGAGACGAATTACTGTTCGGAATCTCAGGATTCGAGAAGATATTGCAAAAGTAAGTCTTGTCAACACACATATTTGAAAAACATTTGTCTTCCCAGCCTAAATCTTGTCTACTCTGATAATGCAGTGAGAGTTATTTCAAGATAAGGTATCCTCATTTTTCCCTTCAATTGTATTCCAGAAATGTGCACACACATTGAATTGATTATATTCAACTCCTCCTATTAGGCTGCTGAAATCCTTTTTACTGTAAAACATTCATTCTTTAAATTTTTTCTTCTAGTATTTGAGGAATTTAGATCCAAATTCTGCCTACTATGATCCAAAAACTAGAGCAATGAGAGAGAATCCATACGCCAATGCAGGCAAGAATCCAGATGAGTAAGTATCAAGTTAAATTTACAGATTTCAAGATGGGGAAAAGTTTATTTTTTTAATCTGACCATAGATGTTGTTCATTTTAATTCAGATTCAGTTTTCCCAATTAATTTTTCTTAAGTCAATCTCTGAGACAGTTTTTTTTAATTTGTCTTTACAGAGTGAGTTATGCGGGAGATAACTTTGTTAGATATACGGGAGATACCATTTCGATGGCTCAGACTCAGTGTAAGTGTTTGCTTTATGTCAAGACATTATACAGAGGGTGCCAAAAAAAGTATACACATTTTAAGAAAGCAAAAAACTATTAAAATTATAGATGAATACAAGTCACATTTAACTTCTGCAATTACAAGAGGTGCTTGACGTGGTAACCATCAGCATTCAGACACTTCTGATTACAGCAAACTAAAAGTAATACATAGATAGCATGTCTTAAAATGTGTATACATTTTTTTTTTGGCACCTCTGCTATATCAGCTCATAAAATGTTGATTTTTTTTTAACCTATTTCCCATTTAAGAAAAAAAATGCAGCTCACTGCCACTTTCATTTAGTTTTACATAAACACACTCTTTGAGGCTAAAGCAAATCTGACTGGGGTTTTTTGGGTTTTTTTTGAGTTGGAGTCTCACTCTGTCGCCCAGACTCCCGGCCACTGCAGCCTCGACCTGCTGGGTTCTGGCGATCCTTCTGCCTCAGCCTTCCAAGTAGCTGGAACTACAGGCATGCACTACCACGCCCGACTAATTTTTTTTTTCATTTATTGTAGAGATGAGGTCTCACCTGCCCAGGCGGGTCGCAAACCCACGGGCTCAGGCAATCCACTCACCTCAGCCTCCCAAAGGTGCAGGATTACAGGCTGAGCCACTGAGCCCAGCTCTGACTGGTTTTCAATGTGAAAATAAAATATAAAAATCATTCTTGGAGATATTATCTTGTCTTGAATACTAATGAGAATTACTATATTTTATAAATGGAAACAAAACTACTAAAAACAGAATGCTAAAAGTACTAAAAATAGAATAATGTCATTTGTTTCCAAAAACTCTTCAGTATACTAAAGTGATGCAAAAATAATAATAAAAGTGAGCTATTTCATGACAAACTTTGGGGATAGGGTTAGGACTGTAATCCATGAATTATCTTAGGGTAAATGCTGCTATTGCCAGTGTCACCAGCGAGTATCTTGGGCAAACAAGAAAAGGGTGAAAGCTTGTTTTCAAGAAGCATGTAGTAATGCAGCTGATGACTCATTAAGGTGTTCTGAATTATTCTAGTGTTTGCCTGGGAAGCCTATGACAAGGGATCTGAAGTGCATCTGCAGGCAGATCCTACAAAACTAGAGCTATTGTATAAATCCTTCAAAGTCAAAAAAGAAGACTTCAAAGAACAGCAGAAGGAAAGCATCCTGGAAAAGGTAATTTTGTCTAAAATGCTAAAGAAGAACTCTCCTGAAAGAGAAGCTACTAGTTAATAAGCATTCATTTTACATTTAGAATGCAATACAAGAGCCTCCTTTAATCCGTGGAGAACTATTCTTTCCTTCCATTGTCTTAGTTGGAATTCACTTTTTGTATCAGCTTTTGCAGCAAAACGAGCAACCCCAATCTTAGTATCTTGAAATTAACATTATTTCTCACAATTTTATGCTAGCTGGGTCTCCTGGCCTGGACTTCCTCAACTGTGGCTAGATAGTCTAAAATGACCTTACTCTGATATTAGCACTGAGCAGGCTAAGCTAACTTAGCAAAGAGGATCTCATCTGGGACAGCTCATCTCTGCCCCACATAGTCTGTCATCCTCTAGTAAGCCGGCCCAGCCTTTTCACATGGCATTGTCACAGTCCAGAGTAGCAACAAAAAGTATGCGGTGGAGCCTAAGAAACCTTTGCTTGCATCACCTCTGCCAGCTTCCCATTGTCCAAAGCAAGTAACATGGCCATGCTCAGCTTCAAGTTATAGAGAGACAAACAAACCTCATCTTTTGATGCAGCAAAGTCATGTGGCAAAGGGGCTTGCATATAAGGATAAGAGGAGTTTATGATCATCTTGTAACCTACCACATTCAACAGATCAATAACCACAGCGACATCTTTTGTTTGCTTATGAAAATTTGGTGACTTTTTTTTCCACTATGTTTTCTGTGACAAAGGCCAGTAAAAAATGTTCCCTTTCTTTCTGATTAGAAATAAATACTTCCATAAATATTTAAATGCAGATCTTTATTGCAAAATATACTGAATAATGTTTGATGTCTTTTTAGTATGGTGGCCAAGAGCACTTAGATGCCCCTCCAGCTGAATTGCTTTTAGCCCAGACTGAAGACTATGTGGAATACTCAAGACATGGGACAGTCATCAAAGGACAGGAGCGGGCTGTTGCCTGCTCTAAGTATGAGGAGGATGTAAAGATCAACAATCACACAGTATGTGGTAAACTAGAACCACCTCGTGTCCTTGCTAGTTTTGCTCTGTATTGTACTTTTCTATTACAACTGTGTTAGCTAACCATTACCATGCTTCTTTTTTTTCTTTAACATTTTAACTTTGTTTTATGAAATTTTTCCATAGAAAAAAATGTTCATCTATATACTCACCATCTAAATTCAGAACGTTTTAATATGTCGTCACATGTGCTTTGTCTAGGTGTGTATGTGAATGTACACACTGATGTTATATATACACACATATATAGTATAGTTATACATTTCTTTGAAACATTTGGAAATGACAGGTATTACGACATTTCATGCATAAATGCTGTATCACTTATCTCCTAAAAAGAGGATATTCTCCTGTATAATCACATTGCCATTATTGCATTTTAGAAAATTGACATTAATTCCTTAATATCATCAAATATCTAGTCCTTAATCGCATTTTCCAAAATATACACAAAACTGCCTTTAATAGCTTTTTTCCTGTTTTAGTCAGAATTCATTTGAATTTTATTTTGATCATTATTTGGTTAATTTTTTTTTTTTCTAGAGTTTATCTCTCCATTTTCATGACAGTAACCATTTAACAGATCAGGCTAATTATGTTGTCAACTGCCTTATTCTATATTTGTCTGTTTTCTGGTGGTATCATATAACTTATTACTTTATCCCGTCTATGTTCTATAAACAGGAATTTAGGTCTCAAGGCTTGATTGGACATATATTAAATGTTTGGATAAGAATACTGAATAGATGATGGGATTTATTTGTTATTGCCTCACATCATAAAGCTTAGATCGTCATTTACTGTTCCCTTGAAGTTACCATACTACAACTGTCTCTCTGAGTTGGGGTTCAAAAACCTAACTACATCTATAGGAGCCAGGCCATTGATTGCATGTGAGTGAAATTAGCTAGGCAAATTGCACAAACTGTCTTAACAGGGCTATCCACTGTTCAGCAATAGCCCATTATTGCCAAGTGGTAGTGTAGGCTCAGAATTTCCCACTCCTTAATTTTTCAAGAGAAGTCAGATATCTTAAATTTTTTATAGGCTTTGGGAATAGAATGTAAGACCTTTGTAATTGCAGTGCCTGCTTCTCACACTTGAGGTTAGACCACCCTCTCCATTAACCAGCTTTGAATTTTTCTCCCAAATTGCCTTTAAAGGGGCTGTAAGATGTTACACTCCTGTCAACAATATACAGAAGTCCCTAATTTCAGGTTTCTTTTTAACTAATTTCTCTTCTTCTGCAGCATATCTGGGGATCTTACTGGAAAGAAGGCCGATGGGGATACAAATGTTGTCACTCTTTTTTCAAATATTCCTATTGTACTGGAGAAGCTGGGAAGGAGATTGTGGTAAGTAACTGTCCTTTGGTTCTTAAAGGTATAAAGCAACCAAAGCTCAGTCAAACTCTGTATAAAATATGTCTTCTCATGTTTCAAATTGTAACTTTTTCTGAGATGATCAGTAACTACAACATTCAACTCAAATTACAAATATTTTTCCACAGAACTCAGAGGAATGTGTTATAAATGATATAACTGGGGAAGAATCTGTGAGGAAACCTCAAACCCTGCTGGAGGTAAGTCGATGATCATTTGTCCTGAATTTTTAAGTTCTAGAGGGAGGACCTTAAAACTTGCACTACAGCTTTGTTTTCACATTAATAACACTGTGTTTCCATCTTAGCTGCATCAGGAAAAACTAAAAGAGGAGAAAAAGAAGAAGAAAAAGAAAAAGAAGAAGCAACGAAAGAGCAGTTCAGATAGTGATGATGAAGAAAAGAAACATGAAAAACTGAAAAAGGTACTTCATGAAGCCTAAATATTAATAGTAAAATTGACAGCAGCATTCTTTGTTTTAAGGGTCTTAGGAAATGATCTAATCCTGTCTCTAAACTCTTTTTTTTTTTTTAATTTATTGTAGAGATGCATTTTCACCGTGTTGCCCAGGCTGGTCTCGAACCTGCGGGCTCAGGCAATCCTCTCGCCTTGGCCTCCTAAAATGCTTGTTTTACAGGCTTAAGCCACAGCACCCGGCCTTTAATTTTTTTTTTGAGTTGGAGTCTCACTCTGTCACTCAGGCTGTAGTGCAGTGGCATGCTCACGGCCACCATAGCCTCGACCTACTTGGGCTCGGGTGATCCTTCCTCCTCAGCCTTCCAAGTAGCTGGAACTACAGGCATGTGCCACCACACCCAACTATTTTTTTTTTTTTATTGTAGAGATGAGGTCTCACCAAGCTGCCCAAGCTGGTCTTGAACCCATGGGCTCAGATAGTCCTCTCACCTTGGCCTCCCAGAGTGCTGGGATTATAGGCATAAGCCAACATGCCCGGCCTCTAAACTCACTTTTTAAATGATGAGATGAGTTGGATGCAGTGGCTCATGCCTATAATCCCAGCACTTTGGGAGATGGAAGCAAGAGGATTTCCTGAGCCCAGGGGTTTGAGACCACCCTGGGCAACTTAGTGAGACCTTGTCCCTATTCTATAATAAATCAAAAAATTAGCTGGACGTGGTGGCACATGCTGTAGTCCAGCTACTGGATTGCCTGAGTCCAGCAGATTGAGGCTGCGGTAGCTGAGAGTGTGCCACTGCACTCCAACCTGCATAACAGAGTGAGACTTTGATTCAAAAAGTAAACAAACAAACAAATAAATGATGAGATGAGCCCAGGATCTGGGTGATTTGCCCAAGTCACATTAATGGAAATTTTTATGGATCTAGGTGTTTATTGATTGCCACTGCTTTAGAATATTTAATAAATGTCACTAATGGACAGAAGAAATGTGCTTTGTAAAGCTGTTTTAGAGTTACTGACATGTTGCCTGGGAAGAATTGTCTTCTTAGCTCCATAATTTGTAAGTTTCAGCAAATCCTTGGGAAAGTCAGAATTGCAGTCTCTACCAGAAGCATCAGTTGTATTAGTAAAATGAACCTTATTTAATTTTTGTTACAGAGTAAAATTTTTTTAACATTGACTAAAGATGTCATAGAATGTTCTGTGCTCTAAGAAAATTCATATGAGCCAAATGGTAATTAGCTGTAGCTTGACAATGGAAGGGCTGACTCCCAAGCTCTTTCAGAAAGTCTAGATTTTCAGACCTTCCTTGTCTGAAGCTGTAGCAGTTTGTTTTCAGTGGGGTCTTCTGGTACTCTGCCACTTGAAGAGATCTAATGTAAAACTGTATATTCATTTTTTTCTTCTTACTCTAGGCACTGAATGCAGAGGAGGCCCGCCTTCTTCATGTCAAGGAGATCTTGCAGATTGATGAGAGAAAGCGTCCATACAACAGCATGTATGAGGCTCGGGAACCTACTGAGGAGGAAATGGAGGCCTATAGAATGAAACGCCAGCGACCAGATGACCCCATGGCCTCCTTTCTGGGACAGTAGTAACTAGTCACAGAAAACCATCCAAGATGGACACAATTGGATAGGCACTTTTCAGCTTCTTGCTGATGTTTGTAGATAGAAAAATCCTTGTCTCTGCATGGGCTACTTCTGCAACAACAACATTTTTTAATTAAAAAGAAACAAAAAAAAAGCCTTATCTACTGTTCTTGCTGTCTCACTTTAATAAATCTTTCAGAAATCTCATAGTAAGTTCATTCCTTTCCACACTGAAGAAATGAAACATAGAAGAAAAACAAAGAGGAGGTACATTAAATGTGGATTAAGATTTTATTTTCAGTTTTATATTGGTGATATGGAAAGAGACTATGGCATGCTACCTATCAAATGCCTTCTACTCAACAGTTACTTATTTCTCAGACTTCATTTCTTCAATTTTTGTGACCCTCTATCTGGTATTAGCACATCTTGCTTTTTTTAAATTTTTTATTTTTTGTAGAGACGAGGTCTTACCAAATTGCCTAGGCTGGTCTCAAACCCGCAGGCTCAGGCAATCCACTCACCTCTGCCTCCCAAAGTGCTGGAATTACAGGCTGAGCCACCGAGCCCAGCCTCACATCTTGCTTTTAAGAAAGAACTAGGGCTTCATTTTTTTTTTAAATTACCAGTAACTCTATAATTGCATTAAAAAAAATTTTTTTTTTATATATACAGGGTCTTGCTATGTTGCACAGGCTGGAGCACGGTGACTTTCCACAGGCACAATCATAGCACACTGCAGCCCCCAGCTCCTGAATCCAAGCAGTCCTCCTACTTCAGCCTCCCTGGAACTAGGTGCATGCCACCACGCCAGCTAAAAAAATTATTCTACCTTGCACTTTGCGTCACTAGAAGGAAATCTGTAAAGAATGTGAATAATTTTATCTCCATGTCAATCTTGTAGCAATAGATCTTTTTCAGTTGGTTATAAAATTTTGATTTTTAATACATTTCCTTGCACCTTTCACTCAGACGAAATATGTTAGTCTTTGAATGGAAAACTGTTTTCTCATCAGTATTGACTGATCAGTGCTAGGTCTTATACAATGCTGGACATAAGACTTTAGACATAGAAATTATTTTATCATAGAGGATATGGCTCATACTATTTGTTTTAAATGAGATTGCCTTTATGTAACAATCATGAATATTAAATTAGATTTTTTGAAATTGCAGAATATCCTAATCTTATAGCCAGCAGCAGTTGCTTTCTTTGCAAAATCTACAATAAACACCTGAAGTTGATTTCTTCAAAGAATTATACAAATAGCTTATAGGAATACTAGTAACAGATTATCATGATCCTCAAGCCACTTCTAAGAATATTGTGAAGATGATACTGACAGAGTGGAATCAGTGAAAACAGCCTATTGAAAATCTCTGATTTGAGTACATCGACTTTTAACAGCCCACTGGTTTTTCTAAGCTACCAAAGACCACCTGTAGGATACTGCATTAAGTCCATCTAAAAATGGTGGTGTGAGAGCAACTGAGCCAAATTGTCAAGTACTATGGATATACATAGTGTCTAGATTTAACCTGGTATGAAATTAGAACAGCAATGCAAATAGATTTTTGAGTCAAGGTCTCACTCTTATCCAGACTGGAGTGTAGCTGTGTGGGCTCATGGCTCACTGCAGCATGGACCTCATGGGCTCAGGTAATCCCTTCACCTCAGCCTCCCAAGTAGCTGGGGCTACAGGCACATGCCACCATACCAGGTTAATTTATTCTTTATTTTTAAAATTTTTTGTAGAGATAAGGTCTTCGCTGTATTGCCCAGGGTGGTCTCAAACTCCTGGGTTCAAACAATCCTGTCACTTTGGCCTCCCAAAGTGTTGGGATTAGAGGTATGAGCCACCTGCTGCGCTTGACCTTGCAAATAGAGTTATCCACTTTCAGAATGCAAAAATTGTGGAGTCGAGAGGATAGCCTGAGCCCATGGGTTCGAGACCAGCCTGGGCAACTTGCTGAGATGTCATCTCTACAATAAATAAAAAAATTAGCCGGGCGTGGTGGTACATACCTATAGTTCCAGCTACTTGGAAGGCTGAGGCAGAAGGATTCACTTGAGTCCAGCAGGTCGAGGCTGCGGTGATGATAGTCCTATTTTACAATAAACACATGTAATGACTCTGAGTAATTTCTTCAAGTCCTAGCAGTTAAAAAGGTTGGAGCCAGGACATGAAGCCAGGTGTCTCTGATTCTAAAGCCTACCTTTTTAGTACTTAAACTCCTACTTTCTGAACCAGGAGACTGGTCTTTTGCAGTTTTTTCCACCCACAGGAACATTAAGCAGGCCTTCAATGTTTATCAGGTTCACTCTCAACCTCTGACAATGTTGCATCTGCCCACATTCTGTGACACCCCACGACCCCTCCTCACACAGACCAGCCTTATGGAATGCTTCTAACAAGATTGACTATACAAAAATGAATAAACGTATTAAATGTATAAGAAATCTGGAAGAAGATACCCCCAAATAGGAAAGAGGGTTATATTCAGGTTTGTCAATAATATTTTCTACTTTGGGATTTTTCTCTAAAACCTCTCTAAAGTGGGTTTGTTTATCTTATTTTTGAGTCGGAGTCTCACTCTGTCACCCCAGGCTGGAGTGCAGTGGGCCAGGGCGGCTGGCTATTGCAGTCTTGACCACCTGGGCTCAGGCAAGCTTCCACTGCAGCACTCTAAGTAGCTGCGAACTACAAGCACGCCACCACACCTGCTAATTTTTTTTTTTTGCCCAAGCTGGTCTGGAACACCTGGGCTCAGGAAATCCTCCCGCCTCAGCCTCCCAAAATGTTGGGATTACAGGCTTGAGCCACGGCGCCCAGCCCTGAGTTTATTCTTTTTAAATGTTGAAATAATTTGAAGTAAAATTAATCTTTTTTTTTTTAAATTATAGAGATGAGGTCTCGCCAAATTGCCCAGGCTGGTCTCAAACCTGGCTCAGGCAACTCTCTCACCTTGGCCTCCCAAAGTGCTGGGATTATAGGCACAAACCACTGCACCCGACTTAAAATTAATCTTTTATCTAAGATTGATGATGATTCTTAGGAATTTCTCCCACATTCTCTACTTCATGGGAAGGCCCCTGTAGGCAAGAGGACACAAGCTATGGAAGCTCATTCCCCATTATGAGCATCTCAATGGAATTTAAATCCTGCCCCATTTGCTGGATTTTTTTTTAAAGTGTGCCACCACGCCCGGCTAATTTTTTATAGTAGAGACGAGGTCTCGCCAAGTTGCCCAGGCTGGTCTCGAACCCCTGGGTTCAAGCAATATCCTCGTCTCTGCCTCCCAAAGTGCTGGGATTACAGGCGTGAGCCACCATGCCCCGTTTAAACTGGAATATTTAATTTGGAATCACAATGAGCTTTCTTCTCTTTTTCCTCACTTATTCCACAAGGCACATGGTAATCATCAAAGCTTTATCACCTCCATGCTCAAAGCCTGACACACTATAAAATTTTATTTCCAATGCTCTGAATGTTTAAAAAGAACATAAAACCATGTGGACTTTACAGTCTCCCTCCCATTCCTGAAATTCTATAGTTCATCCTTTTCCTGCAGGCACAATAAACGATTCCCCATTCCACGTACACAATCTGAATTTAAAAAAAAAAAAAAAAAAAAA